CACGCCCACATTCAACCATAAACAGTCAATGTAAAGTACCTCATGAATGTTAAGATGTATTTAAATCAGTCAGATGATCAGTGATTGGCTCAGACACGCTCCTTCGTGCGTCTGGATGATGACAGGTGCTGACTGACAGCTGCTCACCTGAACAGTTTGTCTGTAATTGACACAGATTTTCCCTCATTTTGCTTTAGAGTAATCTAATGATTTTTATTTWAAAAACTCAGCTTCAAATTAATTTTCCCTCAGAGCCTGCAGGACGATAAAAACAATAAAAATAAAATTAAATAAGTCAAGTCCACCGCACACACACGCACGCATTAACCCCCAATACAAACAGATATGAGTAAAAGCATAACTATCCTCTAGTGAGTGAAAAAGTGAAATGACTCAACTGTAGATATGTAAGAGTTTCATAAAAGCTGCTTTTAGATTGACTCGGTTTGTGGATTTATCTAGAGAAGCTGATCTAAACCAGTGGAAATCTGGCCTGAGAGTCCTGCAGTGGGACTTGTTTTTTTTTCCCTGGACTGTTGCTCAAAGCCTGGCAGCTGGTTTCCATGAAGAAACTGTCAGGGAGGGGCAGTAAACACATGACAGCCTCAGAGTGCCCTCACACATACTCATACAAAGCATTGTCAGTGTGAAGTTTTAGTCTCTTTACACAACAAACTGTAGAAAGTGTTAAKATGGACAGCAGAGCAGACAGAAAGAACCATGAGAGTCTTACTTTCAGCACAGTCTGCTGCTCCCCGAGCCTGGCGGCAGAAGCTTGGAGGATGCAGAGAAGGCAGAGGCCGGACAGAAATCTAGCAGCCATATTTGTGTTTGCCTGGCAGTCCACCCCCCTCTTCTCCGTCTTTGTGTCAGTCAGTGTCCTCTGAGCAGATCCTTGTTCTGCTTCAGCCTCTGACTTCACTTCTCTACGCTGCAGACGTCCAGATGCAGCTCTGCCCCGTGTCCTGGTCTTGATTGGGTCCTGCTAAACTAACTTGTATGGACTTCGTCTCTCTCTCTCCCTCTCCCTCTCTCTCTCTCCTCTCCCTGCCCTGGTTCCTCTCCCCTCGTGGGCTCGCCTCTCCCCTGTGCTGGATAATCACACACAGATGGGAATCTGAAAGTAAGAGAGACAGAGAGAGGGCTTTCTGCCTCTGAGCTACAGACAGGCACTGCAACCATCCAGACTGCTCTCCCCACCCCACCCCGGCCAACTGGCAGAGTCATGTTGAGTATTAACTCCTCGTCTCCATTTGCAAGACCATGGCACCCTTTTTCACCTTGGGCAGTCAGTCTCCCATCCCCCACTGCCCACCCTGACTGAGCAGAGGGTCTGGAGCTTCAACACTCTGCAGGCGAGATAAAACCCCAAAACAAAACAGCTGTTACGTTGTCCTGGCCTAACTTTACTTCACAGCTCGAGCCATGAACTCACTGTTTGTTTTCTGAGGGTGGGAATCTCAAAAACAGCTGAATTGTGTGAGACTGTGACACAAGTAAAGCTTCTAGTACAGTAGAGGTCATTGTCAGGGTCTGAAAACAGAAATTCTTTCAGATCACTTACAGTAAGGGGAAAGCTACTTCTGCATATATTAAAATCTAAAAGCTTCACAGATGCAAATGCATCTATGTTATGCAGAAAAGCCTGCCGGGGCCATGTGAAGGGTTCATGTCTCATTTGGGTTTCAATGTCTCATTTGGGGTGTCCAGTTAAGTGTTCCACTCCTTGCTGCAGGCTGCAGCTTGGTTCCCCAACTACACTTCATTTGAATTCTATGGATCATTTTTAGTTAATCCCACATTTTTAGTCTCGGGTCTCATTATGTTTCATCCTTTTGAGCCAGTGGGTTGTGCAGCTCTTCATCACATTCTCCCATCCTGAGCAGTTTATTGGCAACATTGGAAAGGAAAAACTTGCTTTTACAAGGAGGAAACCTCCAGCAGAACCAGAACCAGGCTCAGGATGAGCAGCTATCTGCAAACATGACAATTTGTATGAATTGTTCAGAAACTAGACACCACATAGCGGTAACATAATGACCCCCGCACGCACAAATGCACCAGAACTTAGAAGTCTTTATTCTTCATAAATGTCATGCTACTAGGTGCATCCCAAAATTGTAGTGGTTTGGGTGGAGGTCTTTTTTTGGGGGAGGTGAGGGCATTGGTTGACCTGATGGATAGCCCCTCATCAGAGCTAAACAACCAACAAAAATCAGAAGCTCCTGTGTTTAATAGTTTTTGAGCTATAACCATTTTGGTATGTCCAGATACCCCTTTTTCAGATAAATTAGGGGTCAGGGGGGGGGGGGGGGGG